CGCCTTCTCTATCTTAAACTTGGAAAACATTGCCTAGAAAACTTTTTTTTCGACGATCTAAACACGAGCGAAATGGTTGTTGTCAAGTGACAATAGCGAAATGATTGTTGTCAAGCACGCGTCTCTATAACCATTTACCTCATTAGAATAACTAGAACTCAATGACCATTCATGACAACAAGAAAACAATGGTGTCAACTAAGCGCGAATTTCAAAGACGCTCAGCTGCACTCAAAACATGTTATACGCCGGTAACTTTTTTAAATAACCAATTCGGAGAACAAGCTGAATAGAGGTCTTCATTAGAACTTTATTCATGTTGTGCACAAGACCTGACAATGGTTAGCGGCACGCGCTTCTACATGGAAAGTAAAGTTTTTGTCAATTAATGGTTTGTTGACGATTAAGAGACAAAGACGATAAAACAATACACAACTAGCCACGAAAGCGTTCAAGTTATGAATACTTTAGTGGAACTAATGCAATGAAAGTGTTTGGTAACTAAATTCCCCAAGAATCCTGTCACCATTTCTTAGATTGACTAATTATAAACTTTAATATGTTTGGAAAGAGTAAAAATCGATTAGTTTGAATTGGGGGAGTAACAGCACTAATAGCGCAATTGTGTTTTTAAATAACACGAAAGGCGCTTTTGTTTTCTTATACTTAAAGACATTCAATAATTTTATCATGACAATTTAACCCTCCCAAGAGTTTACTGATATTTCGAACATAATTGATAGTGGCGGAAACTACGGCAGTTCGTCGCTGCAAGTAGGCTACTTTCCACGCAGCGTGTTTGGCTTACTAGCGGCTGGCCTATTGCAGAGCATTAAACAGACCAGAAAAAAAGGCTTATTTCTTCGCTTCACTTTTCTTTGCCGATGACTGGGTTTTACTTGCAGTTTATTTTTCGCTTTTTCATTTGTATTTTAAAATACACACCCTGGCAATTTAAGCGTGCGTTTCTGAACGTTGGCGTTCGCCGGTTTGCAACAAGAAAGAAATAACTTCTACAGCCCGCGCTTCATGTAACAAATTTTCCCTTCCGTACCCCGGAAAAATGTCGCTGTACTGAGCGACATTTCCCCTACCCCACCACGAGAAGGGTGATATTGTCAGCATCTGGTCGTCAGCGAAGATTTTGAATCTCGCGCTCGGAAATTGGCTGAGAGTCGGTTCTTTGTTCTAGAAACAATAGCGCCTTTCAAGCTGCAAACAATAAAAAATGCCCATAAACGGTGTGCCATTGTCCAAAAATTAAACACAAAGTCTGATATGTATTTTTGTCTACATATCTTGCTTCTTTGTAACGTATGTGAATACTTGAATACTACATGTTATTTTTACAGTTTTAACTCAAAAGTTGCCCTTTCCAACTTTACACGGAACTCAAGAGGACGGAATTTCTCAGACCTGGCCTTACATCAGCTTTTGTGCAGTGTGTATCATTGCCTGAGATTTAGTGTATCTCATTGGGTCACTGGAAGCCATGAACCACCCAGTGAGAGTCACCCTGCAATCAGGGCCTCTTTTATCTCAGCAGTACAGTAAGACAAGGTTCTGCTTATAGGTTGGAACTAATTGAGAACCCATGTCACAGTTTAAATTCTTGTGACAATATGGATATCGTTTTTACAGGCTATTTACACAAAATTTCAAGAAGATGATGTAGTTCACAGTAATAGAGAAAGAGATAGTTCAAGTTGATGACCAAACTTGGAAAATACTCCGGCCAAAACATGCATCCTTGCAACGAGTAGAAGTCATTTTCTTAAATGATTAGGGTGTTTTGGTTTGTCGGAAGGAATGAAGTGTACCATTATCCATGTATATATCACGGATACATTTATTGGAATTCCGGAGAACACAACTTCTTTCCAATAGGGAAGGCTATTTTGCGAGTCTGCGAGCCCGAGCCGCGAGCCTCTTTTTGCGAGCCTCGAAAGGTTCCCACCTAAAAATACAAAACAGGGCCTAACGCCCTAATATGGTATTTATTGCATGGTCCATGGCAAGTGAGGATGATTGAGAGTGCTTCTCCTTTTTTTATATTTCTACCTTAATTATAGTGGGTTTTAATAAAGTACGCTTAAATTACGCAGATATTTTAGGACTGATATTTTTACAGTTTTGCTCTTACATTACAAGAATTTGGTAGCTGCAAGCGAGGTAAACTTTTCCTAATTTTCATTTTATTTGTTAAGAGTTGTACGGGTTTTCAAAGGGCGAATTTTCGCGTTATCGGGTCTTAGAACAAGTTGAAGTGCCCATGAAGTACATAAGGGAATTCTCTTATTACTCTTTCAATCTTACATAAGCTAAGCTTACAGTTTTTATCCTTTATGAAAATGAACGAAAAAAGGTCGGTTTATTTGTCCCCGGGTTTGTAGCTCACTCCTTCAAACTATTGCATGTATCCGTGTTTCACCGTCATGTAACGTAAGCTAAGCGTGCACTGTATTGTGTCAGTAAGTTTATAAACCAACTTCAGATTATCATCAGATCATTGCCGAGCGGACGGGTTTTATTCCCAAACTTTTAAATCTCCCGAAACAAGCGGTCTTTCGACTTTGTAAAATCAAGAGTCTGGTTGCCCGACAGAAAAAACAACGGGCAACCGGCAGCCAATTTATGTTATCGATATATCATAATTACCTAAAATTCGTTCGATGAAATTGAATTTACAGACGAAAAAATTACTTACCCTTAATTTCACGCACGAAAGAAGATCGAATTTTTTTTTTGGCTTCTCCTGCCAAGTGTAGCTTTACTGAGTGCAAAATTAATGTTGCAAAATTGCAACAACAAAAAATAAAACTAAAACAAAAGTAAACAAAAAACAGTGGCTTGCAGAAATAGGCTCGCAGAAATAGGCTCGCGGCTCGCGGCTCCGACTCCGGCTCGCAGGCTCGCACATAAGTTACTCTCCAGAAATCATTTGATGCGTTTTCAAATTTCTCGGGCGTACTGAGGACGGGGCCTAAAGCAATAACTTGGTGAGTAAATCGTGTTCCCTCCTCCTCAGCCACCGCGAGCAGGATTTACCACTGCCTCCGTTCGACATCGAATCTCGGTGTGCAAGAGACTGCGAAAGCATAATGCACTGGTATAGACTAAAACGCCTAACACTGAGCGAATCCCATGCATCTAACTAATAATGCCAATTTTTGAGTTGAAGGATTGTGTATTGTCTTGTGTTTTTAGGCCTCCCTGATTTAAGTGTGGATGTTGTGATTGCCTCTCAGAGCTTCCACTGGTTTGCCAACACGTCAGCTCTTCGGGAGATCAACCGAGTGCTTGTGCCAGGTGGAATGTTTGGCATCTTTTCAGTAATGCCTGACTATTCTGTACCCTGGATGGCAGATCTTTGGGAATTCCAGGCTCCCTTGTACAAGAAGAAATCTATTGTGCTTCCCTTCCAGGACGGATGGAAACAGGTTTTTAGCTCAACGACCCAAAAACTGTTCAGTGACCTTGAAGGAAACTCAAGTTTCAGTTTTACTATGTCGGTGGCCTCTTTTGAACAAGCATACGATTGCTTTGCTTCCGGTTCTGTTATTGCCAGTGGTACAGACCCCACAAAGGAGTCTTTTCGAGAGTTGTTCAATGAGGTAGTGAGAAAACATTTCTTGGATAAAGGCATCGATTTAGACGGTATTATGATTAAGGTTTTTATGTATTGGTGTACTAAAGAAATCTGAGATTACCTCAAGGTCAAACTTCACCTAAATAACACAAACTATACATAAATATAAATTCTTGATTTAAAATATTTTAAATAGTGTGGGATTTAGAACTGGGACAGCTCGAGACTTTCTGCCGAAAAATAAGGTCAGGAGGAGCAGCGTGGTCGAATGGTTTGGGGCGCTGGTGTTGTAATCCGGAGGTCCTGGGTTCAAGGCCTCCACCCTGCCACAAGCGGGATTTGTTTCTCGGTAGTCCCGAGTTCAAATCCTCGGTCACGCTTTGTAAATAGCCAACTTGTCTGCCTCCTGCCAGTTGGGATTTTTAACTATGTTTCGTTTATTTGAAATATTTGTTTCCTTTGTTTCAGTGGCATGCCTGTAAACTAGCTAAGCTTAGTGCTTGTATAGCTAAGTGCATGACCACTGTAAATAAGATTTACATTTTTTTTTTTACAAATAAGATTTACATCACGAAATAAAATCGTCACTAAACTGTCTTTGGTGTCCAGTCTTTTGGTTTCATCACAATAAATAAGGCATAGCACAGAGCGAATACTCTATCATAAATATTCCTCCAGGATCTCTCGTCTGCCTGTATTCACAGGATTAGTTGAATATGTCGCGAATAGACCATTTTACTGTTGTCGGTTCAGTGACCTGGCCTTTGAATGGTAGCAAGGCTGCTGGTGACCTTGTTTTGATACAGACCTCACCGCTTTTGTTGTGTAAATTAAGTTGTTGCCAGAATGAGAAAAGGAGAGAGGTATCAAGGTCACCTCGAGCCTTGCTTACATTCATAAGCCAGGTAACAAAGCACACAACTGTAAAATGGCCTTTTCTTGCAATTGAATATGTTTTCGACATTGAAACGTTCTGTGTCGATAAAAGAGGACACGATTATAAAGAAAACGAGGCGCGTGACTACTGCCTTTTCTTCTACAGCTGTTTTGAGAAAGGTTGCCCCAGGGCAAAAAAGTCGAAGAGTATTATGGGCAATGGTTTACGGTTGCTTGATTGAAGCCGCAAGGTGTGTCAGCGTGATGGAATTACACAGCACAAACACGTGTACTCATGCTTCCCTCAGTTCCTTCTTGCTGAAACAAACTCAACCAAGCAACGATAAGTATCAATCGGCCTTGTGGCCTACGATTACGTTTTGTGGGACAAACTTTGTCGAAATAGTTGTATACGAGCGTGGTAAGTCAGGTAAGTTATACATACATGTGGCTGCTCTGCATGTACAGAGCTCTGGTGTCGGTCTTACCAGGGCGCAGAAAAGAATGGGATTCTTCTCTGAGCCCTGGTCTTACGAGAGCCAGGAAATGCGGTGCGCATGATCTTGGCGTCGTCGGCAGTACGTATCTCGTCAAGAAGAGAAGACAGGGCCTGCATTATGTCTGGTTTTATGGGTAGACGCTTGGGTCCGGGATCGTAACTCAGTTCCGCATCGTTGTTTGACTAGTACCTTGGGTAGATCAGGATGAACCAGGCTTAGCCATGTAAGGACGATAAAATTCTCTAAGTTGGGGGTAAGTTCCTCGTTCTCAGTGGGGACTTCGCCATGGTGGGACAGGCTATTGGTGCGGGGAAAAGTGCCCTCTACGAAGGCCATGAGGCATTGAAAGAGATCTTCGGGTCGTTCACCAGCTTCTAAATGCAGGTTCGCAAAATCAAGAAAGTGGGCCCCTGTCACTTGGAAGCCTCAATGCTCGCAAATCATGTTCCAAACCGTTTGGATTGAAGTTGAGTTCTTCACCAGCGAGGACCTTGTATTACGGAGCAATTGTTAGCGACTTTGCCTAAGCATAAATTCCAGGAAATTAACTTTCTGTTGGGCTGTTCAGTTCGACGTCCTCGCTCCGGAAGTAGGGACTTTAAGCAGCGGGAACGCGGACGGCGACGGGGACGCCGAAACCTGTGAGAAGGCTGGGGAGAGACCGTCGTTGTGGCGGGAATTCACAAACATTAAGCAGCACCGTCGGAAACCGCGGTTTCCGCACTGTCAAGTTTATTGACATTATCGATATTCGTCCTCTGTTTATCAGGATGAACTAGGATCACTTCATTGAAAGATGTTCGCAATCAACTCTTAATAATCCACGATGAAGGTGTGTTAAACGATCACGAACTTCTACTCTTGTACGATTTAAACCGGTCGAATCATCTCGACCAACCTTATGATTCCTTTCCTGATTTTAACTTCGATGGTTTGAAGACGACGAGTGCCGGTCCGAATTTCGCTTCCACAAACGCAACTTGCC